TGCTGCTAATTGGTCAATCTCCATATCGGTGGTTAGAAAAAGATGCTAGCCGCCCTCGAGGGAAAGTTACTAGTGGGAGACCGTTCGTTAAAAAATAGGTCTCTCTTATCTTCCCGTAGCTGGGACAAAGATTGTTTGTCTGTCTGAAGGACTTTAGTCAACTAAATCTTAAGATTTATAACGAGCCCTCAGGCTAGCTGAACATGTACTGCGGAGACGCATCGACATCTAGCAATCATCTTACTCGAAGAATAGGGTCTACGTGTGGCGAGCCACGGGACAGAAACCGTTGGAATGTTTACCGTCGCGTGCCGCTACAAATATTTCTTTTAAGGAGAGCTATAGAATTACTCTATACCTTTGTTAGACATGAGACGCATCGACATCTGGCAATCATCTTACTCGAAGAATAGGGTCTGCGTGTGGCGAGCCACGGGACAGAGACCGTTGGAATGTTTACCGTCGCGTGCCGCCACAAATATTTCTTTTAAGGAGAGCTATAGAATTACTCCATACCTTTGTTAGACAAAGCGTTCATCCCGTGATCGCAGCTACGTTCGGCGACTGGCTGTCGCCTCGAGCCCAAGCTCATTATCACAAATCTCGAACAAATACAATCGGATCGAAAGACGACAATTGTTTAATTATGCCTATGATAGAATCTAGATTACGGTGTCCTTCGCTTATTCCACTAATTCGTAAAATCCTAGTCCAACTCAATACCAATCCCTCGCATGAACGAAAAAGCGAGTAAGTAATTTTTAAGAAAAAAGTTTTTTAGTCAAAAATTAAACCCCCTTCGCTCGCATGTGGAATTAATATTGGGTTGGATTGGATTTTCACAAGCGAGTGAGCAACGCATGTAATGTTTTCTTTAAAATAAAAACTCTCTCGTGTATGTATTTATGTGTAGGCAGAATGCGATGTATAGAGTAGTAGTATATTTTTGTTAATAACCATTTCAAGAATAACGAGCGGCAACTAAAACCTTCTGGATGTTACTCAGGAAAGCGTTCTTGACAACATATGACCAGATCATTGGGTCTTGATCCTCTTTTATCAACATTTACCTTAAAAAATTGTGGTATGTTTAATTCGCTATTAAAATAATGTAACCAGCAAATGCACTAAAAGATAAAAGCCCGAGGCATTACAAATAATAGAGAGTTTTTCAGAGAGCAATATAAGAGAGATACAAAACTATTAAAAACTATTGAAAAATCTAAATTAAATCAAAACTCACCAAATCACCATGGAAGGCTTCCAGATTCATCGTCAATTATCACCAGCGTCCATCCAAATTTCATAGTGGCTCCTTCTAATGCCTGGAAGTTTCTCTCGTCATAATTTGTACAAGAAATGACCAAGATATTAAAAGAAATATATGTCGGAGAAGAGCCAGGAACAGGATTGTGGGCGTTTGATAGACCTCCCTTGGAGTTGGCCATCGTTGTGTGATAACGAAGATACGGCCTGATGCTACGAGTATGGACACTACCGATTCGACAATCAAAGCGGTGGTTGGGCACTTGCGATGTTAGCGACGTTGGTCTTAGGTTCGATGACGAATCCACGGTCAACGGGATGAAAGATATACTTGTTCTAACTCAAACTCACTGATCGTCAGGCACTGCTCCCTTCGTCGGTGGGATCTCAAGAAAGAATGAATTTTCGTCCCAATGATGCCACAGAGGAAAACTATGATGGGGTGTGTTTAAGGACACGAGATCATCGGATTCGTCGGGTATAACCCTTGTTCCGAAAGTAAAGGAAATTGACGTCGCTGTCAATTGGTCAGTTTGGGACAAAGACTGTCTGTCCGTTTGGAGAATCTTAATTGCCGGAAAAACCCAGGTTTTATAGCGGGTCCTCGGGTTAACTGGACTTGTGCTGTGTACGTGCCTCAACATCAGGTATTCATTGTCCGAAGGAACCGTTGGAATGTTTACTGAATACTCTATTGGTATTTCTTTTAATAAGGGTCATACTATAACTCCACACCTTTGTTAGGCGAAGCGCCCGTCCCGTTGACCGCGACTACGTTCGGCGACTGATGGTCGCCTTGAGCCCAAGTTTATTATCACAAATCGCAAACAAGTACAATTGGGCAGGATGACGGCAAATTGTTTAATTACGACTGTAAACTTTAATTACAATTTTACGGATTTTCCCGAAGTTCCAGAGGGAAGGCTCCGGTGTCCTTTCATCTCCGACATATATAAAAAGAAGAAATTATATAAAAATCAAAGGCTAATCAAAGTGAAATTTCGTCTTGAATGTCCATTATATGATCTATCAGTCAATCAAAAAGACGATAAAAAAATCAAAATAAATTCAATAATTTATTATAATTTAAGAACGTACGTTGATTAAACGAAGTTGACAATAACGTAGGTTTAAGCGGTAAAAGAATGGCTACAAAAAACATCATAGTACGTAATAGAAAGATGGAAATCCGTCTGAGAGTGACACTAAACACATCTAGTTGCTCCGATTCTCGACACAAGAATAACACCCCACGTCGCGGCTTGCCTACCACATTACGGTCAGTAAGAAGTGAGCAGAAGGAAGGACCTCGGTAAGTCGAGCGTGCAAAAAAAGTCATCAAATTCTTGGAAAGGATATGATTGTAGTAGTAAGCATATCATAGTCTGAGTAAACAACCAATTTGTCGAATTAGAACATGAAGATGCTCGTAGAAAATAAACACTTAGGAACTAATATGATTTGAACGAATAATATTTATGGATTTGAGACGTGCCATAATTTTTACGTAATCATAATTTTATTTCATTAGATAAAATTGATTAATAGATAGAAAGCAAATAGATGATAATTTTTAGTTCGACATAAATTCATGTTTTATAATCAAAAGGAATGGGGGGGGGCGGAGCGAAGAAATGAGGGGATGAGTGAGAAATGGGTAGAGTAAAGAGAAAAGGTTATGAAAGGGATACGATGTCATAAATAAAGGGATCTTCACAATCAATCAATGATCTGTACAAAAATATACACGATTACTAATTATATCAAACTCAAATTCTACCTGTGTCAAAAGTTATGATGCAAACTATTGGTGATTCTAACAGTCCAGTAGGAGACCAATGAAACACGAACAAAACAAGTTAAAGAAATTGTTTAATTTTGATATAACATTATCTGATGAATTATTAAATAAACGTGTATTAGTTAAACAAACCTGGTTTATGAAAGATGAAGGATTACTACGTTGTGGAGATCATGCACTTCAAACGCGATAACACGTATAAACGTCATACTTTTTAACACTAAAATGATGCTTCGTTCCGACCCGCCAAATGCTCACCTAGCTGACTGCTCATTGGCTGAGGCGACGCGGTTTCTTTTCGATTGGAGCCGGGGCGAAAAATCGAAATATTACACTCTAGAAACATTTCCTTAGTGAACAAACTATGGCAGTTGTAGGCTAAATATGTATAAGAAATTTTAAATGTTTTGCTGTTTGCTTAACAAAAGGGTCGTGCACTGAACGAACAACTCCTAGGGAAAGGACAGAAAAGAGAAAGAAGCTAAGAAAAAGAATGAAAGAAAGGAAAAACAAATGAAAGAAAATAAAAAAAAGAATTATCTAAAGTATAAAAAGAAATATGATGACAAGAAGGGGAAGGAAGAAGAAAAATCAAAAGAAATGAAGAGAGAAAGAAAGGAAAAGTAGACAAAATAAAGAGAAACAGACAGACCATACAACCATCTAGAGGTGAATAGGTGAAACTAATTCAATAGTAACTTTATGTTACAAACTCGAGTTCGATTTTCATCGATTTTAGCAATACATTCGGTATAGGCCGCTTAAAGTTAGAAGTTCGTTACATTTGGCTCCTTAATCCTTATACAAGGTTAAAGACAAGCGGATCACAAACATTAAACATGGTCTGACTTTAAAGGGAAACACTGCGTCACATACTCGTTACCATTCGTGAAGGCAGAATAATGTTCTACGAAAGATAGAGAAGGCACTATTATAAAATACTAGCAGAAAATAGTATTATAGAATAAGACTATAAAATATACTATTATATACTATTCTTCGACAATAGTGCCACGCAATTTGAAGCCGCGGTGGCTGTGATAGAAGTAAGTCATCCAGTATTCCTATTTTAAATCAGGAGTGTAAAGACATCCCGACTATCATATTTTCGAGCAAATAGATATTCGCGAAATAATAATTTTGTTTCCGCCCATCAAAGTACACTGTCCGACGATTTATCACGTTTCGCGGGAAGTCGTCCTTGACCAGTTATGAATAGTAGTGTCTGGAAGTGTGAACTACCTCGAATTATACAAGATTTTCTTGTTGATTCGTACGATACATTTCTGTATTAATTATTACATTCTCTTTTTCCGTTCCACAAAACCATTGTTGCATTTTCTCGTTTGATTTACCCTAAATCAACTCAACAACAATAGCAAAACTATTAGACTGGCGATTGTTGCTGTTTTTATCGTATTGGATACACCGCCGGAAAATTTAGGTCTTTGATCTTTTTAAGAGACGCGTTCATTTTCTAACCCGTCTAACATTAATGAAAAAAGAAAAAAAATGAAAAGATAGAATTGAGCTTATTAGAGCTTACAAAGGTAAAAGAGAACATGAAAGGAAAACAGTTATAGACGTATGTTATATTCATTTATTATTAATTTATTGATATTAGAGAACATAATGAAATAAATAGTACAAGAGCTTCTCTTATGATAATATAAATTACCTAACATAATTATTTTATTGGTTCATATTCCTAAAATTCATCTGAAGTTCAAAACGTCGGTTTGTTCGTACACCCTTCAAAACAGCTCTGCTTTGCTCTTTGTTTCTACAATAAAAAAAAAGTTTAAGAAATACTGGTATACTATTCTCTATTTTATAATTTTCGTAATTTTAATAACTTTACCTTGTTACTCGTGAAGTATTATTTCTCATGATACAATCGGTAGCTTCCAATTTTCTTATTTTTAATTTAAATTGATTGTAAGAATTTTTATTTAATGTATTAGATAACTGATTTTCACCCCGTGAGTTAGTCTTTTCATTTTTTGTGGCTAAAAGATAATATTCGCATATTTAAAGGTACATATTTGATATGTATTATAAAGCTTATTTATGGATATGGATATATTACTCAGTTCAGTATATCTGTCTACTACTCGTTTCCTTGCATCAATAATAGACTCTGCTTTGGCAAATATTTTCTTATGGATTTTAGCGAAATTTGGAACTTTCTTCGTTGTAGCAGGCTTTGAATCTACAATAAATACAGATATTTATATTGCTTTGTTTTAGGTTTCAATTGGTTTATAATTTTGCATAACAATAACGAAATATCTTAAATAAAGAATGTTCTTTATAACATAAAATATTTTCGACGGCAATTGACAGATTACCTGGAATTTGATTGCGGGATGGTGTTGTTACTACAATTTCGGGGATGGAATTTGATTTTTTACTAAAATCTCTAGTCAGCGACTTCATAATATTCTTTTTTGAACTGTTTTTGGATGAATTATTCTTAACATTATTAAGTTTTTTCTGTTTATTGTGATCTGCTAAAGATGAATTATATTTATAATCCAACAAACAGTTGGCATCCGTTTTCCGTTTCTTTTGATCAAAATTTTCATACTCAGTTCTTTGTTTTTTGTATAGTCTCTTCCGTAAATTTGGAGTCTTAGGTTCAATAAGTTCATAGGTATCATCTTTTTTTACTTCCCCTTGTTTTTCTTCTGTTGTTGATGCAATACTTTTTTGAACGTTTAATGTACTGCATTGTTCGTTTAATTCATAAGTTGTGTCGTCATTATATGATATCTGTTTTGTATTACGTTTATTATTCGTTCTATTAAATATTCCTTTCTCCTTTGGTGTAGAAGACGTAAAGGGTTCCACAAATGGTGTACTTACATCATCAAATGTTCTAATCATTTTATTATGTGGAGATGTTTCGAGAAAATGCGTTTGCGACTTATATGGTATATTTATTTGTTTAAGTTTATCATGACTTGTAGTCTGAGAATGATTAAATATGGCATGAAATATCTTCTGTGAAATATTTATATTACTATTGCTAAATTGATCATTTATATGTATGCTTATCCTAGATAGTGATGAAGATGATGTAACTTTAATAATGTCAGAAAGTCTTTTCAGTAATACTATAGGTTTCTTCAATTTAAATGCATTTTTTCTTAACATTTTGCTCATAAGTATATTTGTACTATTTTCTAGTTGTGAGCTCCTTTTGCTACTAGTGCAATGCAAATCTGTAATAGTAGGAATCTTTGATTTTAGTAATATTGGATTTCTAGATTTTAAGCATAATTTTGGAGATTTTAATCCCATCTTTGATTTTGAAACTCTTTTTAATATTGGACTTTTAGATTTTGAGCATAATTTTGGAGATTTTAATCCCATCTTTGATTTTGAAACTCTTTTTGAGGTATACCTCATATCAAACGAGGATATACTATTATGATTTAATAAGCTGCAATTTTCACTTACAGTATTATCAGATGTATGTAACTTTGATTGTAATTTCTTACTGTAAAGTAATAATGATACTTTATTATTTTCCTTTGATTTTGTTCAAGTATTTTCTCTGGCAGTCAACTTACTTGGTGGTTTCAATACTTATATTCTGATATTTTTAATACTGCTGTTCTTCTGATTCATGAAGTTTTGCAAAAGAGTATATCGATAAAAATTGTAGGGCTTGTAAAGAATTTACAAACCTCAACAATGTTTATAATAGAAATATATAATAATTCTATAACATATGAGTTGTCCTCAGTATTACTGGCTTGATAATTTTATTCTTTTAAAACTTTTTTTCTATATGAATCGATACAAGAACAATCCATTAATTCATTAAACTCTTCTGCTACTTCTTTTTGTTATCTGTAATAATATTTAAATAAGATATGTTACCATATAACAACTTATCAAACTTCTTTTATTTATTTATAACAGTTTTCAACTCTATAGATCAATGTTTATCATACAATATATAATTTGCATCATAATTGCTATGTTTTGTCTTGTTTTTCTATGAAATCTCCTTTATATCTAATCAACAGTAGCCCCTGTTATTGTTCTTATATTGTATTGAACATGAATTGATAAACAACTGTACATTGTGTTCTACAAATACATTAATCACTGGACTAATGTTGAATTTACAGTATAATGATACAAAATAAGGCAAATAAAATTAGGACAAAATCATATCCTGCACATGTAATATTGGAATAATACAAAATCATTTGATATTCAAACATACGTTATCAACAGACATTTTATTTTAAGTGTAGTAAGAATGATAATAACCAATGATTATCTTCAATATTGTCAATTTTTAATACAGAAATATTAAAAATTAGAAATAAAATAAAGAAAGGAACCTTTAGCTGTGAGATTACAATTTAGTTAGATAGATCTGTAAGATTTTCAAACTTAATTTTTTTTATAACATACAATACCTTACATTTTCAGTTAATTTTTGCATATAAAATCACTGTTTTGATATCCCGCGAAAAAAGTAATCAATATTATTTAATCCAAACAAAAAGAATTCGTTATATTTTGAACGGTATACTGTTTATACCTTGTGGCTCCTAGTAGTGCTAATTTTAAGAACTTTATGTACCTTGTGGCTCCTCGTAGCGCTGATTTTAAGAACTTTATGTACCTTGTGGCTCCCCGTAACGTTAATTTTAGCGCGATAAATATGAATCGTATAACAATGTAAGGGAGGCAATAAAAAAAAGAATTTTGATTTTAATAACAAAATTGGTTAATTATCATTGATAACTATCTATAATCACTCGCCAATTTACATATTTCATATGTGTATAAACATTGCTTTACCATATGATGAACACCAGTTAAATCCATTTTTTAACGTTAGTTATTAATAACCTCTTCATTTGGATATTAGATGAACAGTACTTTGTCATTTAAAACTGTGTACATATGTATGTGTGGAACAACGAAGATTAGATTTAGAACTATCGCTGCGCTTGAAAGGACCAGACTTTTCCCAATTAATTAAAATAAAACTTTATAATTTTCAAGGTTAATCCGCTTATTACTAAGCTGAAGCCTGTTATCCAATTGATTATCCAATTAAAATGTTGAAGAGTCTAAATCGTAATTTATTCAAGTTTTGTGTTTATTAACTAATTATGAGCTAATTGTCCTCTCGTTTCGTATCACTCTTATATCGCTTTTTGAAAGATTATTATTTCTAAAAATTTGGAATGGGTTTCATCAGACAGATTCTTCAGTTATCACGATTCATAGTATACTCGTTACTTTCTTGCGTCATATTATTTTCATTATATTTATTATTAAATTTCATCATATTACATCATTAAATTTATCTTCCACTAGCGATATTGAAACTCGTGGGAGAATAAGTCTTATAAAGTCCTATACAGTATATCATATGACAGAGAGGATTCTCTCTCTGATGATAATAAGTGGAGAATTCCAGTACCGTTATCTTTCACTCAACTCTAAATGTTCTTGAGGGATCAGTACAGAACGGCCTTGCTTGCGATCAAGTCGAAAACGTCTACATTGCATATACATAAATATTCGACCAACTGCATACTATTGACGTATGAAAATTAATTCTTTTTCAATTTCCAAACAATCACTTGCGTTTCTTTTTTACCATTATTAGAATATAACTTTTTATCTTTCCAACAAATTTTTTCTCTGTTCTATCGTTCTAATTGTTTTTTTTTCCATTTTCAATCTTGTCTTTCTAGTTTCGGCTCTTTGATCTGTCAATTGTTACTTAACGGAATTAATAATTTCCGCGTCATTTGACATCGATCATCGGACGAAATCTAGCAAACGCCAGCAGAATGCCGAAGGACAAAGGTATAGTTGTTACATTATTCTGTATCATAATAATTAGAGTTCGTGACTCTAAAGGTACAAGTATACGCACAGTGGCACAGTTTTGATTTAGATACACGTGAAATAGAGACTTCTGACATTAATTTAACGAACGTTATTATACACACAGGTTGCAAGAGTTGCGACGGTCCTGGCTATAGGTCACCTAGTGCAGCGATGCTCGAAGGACCACGTGAGAAATTGATATACGTCGCCTGTGTTCATACGGATCAAAATAAATCCGATGTCCTGTGCACCGTTGACGTAGATCCGGATAGTCCCGATTATTGTAAGGTACGATGAGCGTTACATAAAATTTAGTTATACAATTATACTACTTATAATAGCTTAATACAGTAGCTACCACTCATAAATATGCAAATATTTTAATCGATTTGTAAAAACGCTATTTGAATTTGATTAAGTATTCGATGATTAAGTACACAATTCGATTAAAATATACAATTAATGATGAATTAATAATGAGAAGAAACAACTTACTAGCTTTTTATAGAATCATCAATATAAATTTTCATCATTACTATAAATTTATGATCTATTAAAATACACAGCAATAAAGTATTTTACTATTTATTACATATACTACTATATACATTCGCTATTTAAATATCATTATTTGGATATGGGAATTAAAAAAGCTGAAAATCAAGAGTTGCAAGTAGTTATTTTACTAAAACAAAAGAAAAAAGAAATCTGAAAAATTACGGTTTGCAATTGCGAAGAAACGAATTGTAATCATTTTTCAAATATATTAACGTCACGAGATCATAAAGCCAAAATAGTATCTTATCGAAAGTTATTTCTATCGCAATAACATAAAATGTATCTGTAACTTTTTAAAATGAAGTAGTTACATATGATATGATATGAGTGAGATAGGTACGAGTATGATACGAGGTACGTAATCTTTCGTATTTGAAAACTCCAATCTTCCCAATTTATTTTTAGAATTTTATTATTTTTTGCTTCAGATTTTTAGCTGTATATTTCTAAATGCAAAAGTATTAAATGGTCCTTTGTTGTGTTAGAGGGATTGAGCACTTTTTATTTGAAATTGGAATAGATAAAATAGTCATAATACGAATGATACGAACGATGATATGATTTTACAGTCATTCTATGCGCGTCAAATCTTATTCACCCAAAATATTCATATTTCATAGATCGTTCACAAATTGCGAATGCCCTACATTGGCGACGAATTGCATCATTCCGGATGGAATATCTGTAGCAGTTGCCACGGTGTACCACGAAAACGGGACACCTTGGTACTTCCTTGTCTGGTGTCTGATCGCGCCTACTTTATCGATACAACCAATGAACGGGCTCCAACAATCAAAAAGGTTTGACTATCTTGTATGTTTATATAGGTATATGTACATATGTTATTGTACGTATAAGTATATAATTAACCGAAAATTTCATTTACATACATTAGACTGCAAATCGTTACAAATTTAGTTGGAAATTTTCTAAAGAAGATGGCATTATGAATAAAACGAGAATAAAAAAAAAAAGCGCATAAAATCGCGTTAGAAGCTTCATTTTCTGAAAATCAAGTTTGGAAACTTGACGTTCTTTTAATACAGGACTGAATTATTTTAAGTTATAATACTTTCGAAGTAAATATATGATATAATGATACGTATTGTTTGTATTCTTCTTGACTAGGTACTGAGCCCAACGGAGGTACACAAATACGGAGTATCGACATTGCACACAAGTCACTGTTCGCCAACCGGAGAAATTTTAATTTCCACGCTAGGCAAATCGAATGGAGACGCTACTGGTGACTTTCTCTGTATCGATTCCGAAACACTCGAAGTGAAAGCCACATGGACCATGGGAGAAAAAAAAGCAGCGTTTGGTTACGATTTTTGGTATCAACCGTATCACGATACACTTGTTGCAAGTGAATGGAGCGTGCCTAGAATTTTTAAAAAAGGCTTCTCTCCGGATAACAGCTCCAATCCTAGTTAGCTACTGTATTTTACACTTTTTTTCTTTTTCTTATGTCTAAGAGTATTTTAAATCATATTATGTATCTACTACTTCCTCATTGTTATAGTATAATCTAAAAGTAATTTTAATTAAAATCTCGTTCGATCTTTCCTTTTTATAGCGCTTTATGGCAGAAGCTTGAATTTCTATTCGTGGAACGAAAGAAAGTTAAAGCAAGTTTTGAATTTGGGCGATGATGGAATCGCGCCACTTGAAATACGATTTCTTCATGACCCAAAAGCTAACGTGGGACTCGTCGGATGTGCGATATCTTCAAATGTATATAAGTTTTACAAAATGCCGAACGGCGAATGGGCTGCAAAAAAAATTATTCAAGTTCCTCCGAAAAAAGTGGAAGGATGGATGTTTCCAGAGATGGAAGGTACGCTTAAGTCAACTAGCAGGAGACTCAGCTTTAAAGTACAGAATTATTCGTAATGTATCATTCTAATTTATTGTTTTCATATATAGGAATGATAACGGACATTTTGATCAGTCTCGACGACAAGTATCTCTACCTATCGAATTGGTTTCATGGGGATGTTAGACAATATGATATTTCTGACATGGATAATCCGAAGTTAACCGGACAAATATTTCTTGGAGGCTCAATTTTAAGTGATTCGAAAGTTCGTGTAATTGGAGACGAGGAATTAAGTAGCCAACCGAATCCAGTTCATGTCAAAGGCCGGAGACTCGACGGATCACCGCAGATGCTTCAATTAAGTCTCGATGGGACACGTCTATATGTGACTACTTCTATTTTCAAACCATGGGACCAACAATTTTATCCTGAACATGTCAAGTATGTGCATACTTTCCTTATGTTCCTTCAATCGTTTCTAATTAATTGTATACAAAATATGATATAAAATATAACATACAATATATACATAAAATTTTTCTATTGTAAGTTGAAATACTTTTATGAGTTACCGTATATCTTGCATACATACGTTTATACGATTCTAGAAATGGTTCGACCATGGTCAAGCTAGATGTTGATGTTCAAAATGGAGGCTTGAAACTCGATGAACAATTTTTGGTGGACTTTGGCACAGACAAAAATGACATTTTACTTGCACACGAAATGCGGTTTGAGTCTTATTATATTATTTGACGTTTCCTATTTTTTAATGTAATTTCAAAATAATAATTATAATTTCCGTTTCCAGCTATCCAGGAGGTGACTGTACATCAGATATATGGCTGGCGGAAGATTAATCTACTCGTCCATCGACAATATATATTTTCATTTTAATAAATAATATTTTAGATGCTTAGCAAAGTATCAGTGGTACATATAATCTTCTAATACACTGAAATACTTTACAAATATGATTGCCTTTGCGCTACGTTTTATCTCAATTATGTTTTGTAATCAAATGTTATATAAATATTAACAATTCTAAGAGCGAATATTTTCTTTTAACCTGTCAGAAAAATTGTTTTTTTACTAATTATTAATATTAGAAATACATTTTATAGGATAATTTATAGATTAGAAAGAAAAGTATATAATCCACTAAAATTTTATACTAAAAATAAATACTGCATTTATTTGAACGAAACTTAAGTTAATGTCTGATTCTTACTATAAACACGAAAAATTATAGATAGTGCAGAAAGTTATGGATTCCTAAATGGACTGTGATAAAGAAAACAAAGTTCATCCATAAATTATGAAATATACTTACGTACGTTGATTTGCTTAAAAGAAAAATAAAGAAATAAGTATCTTGCGTCGCAATCCAACGAATGATCGAACTAAATTTGTCTAATAATATTAAACTCTTTTTACCCCATCAATGAGGATACTTTTTATTTGTAAAAAATATAATAATATAATGCTGACGCTGCTGGCAGTAGCGATATTTTCAACGATGTTAGTGGTGCTGACAACGACGAGAAACGGTACAATAACAGTAACGATTATACAACAATGATGTTTCATGTAATCGCACAATATGGTAATTATTATTTATCTTAAATATAATGATAAAGGCGATAAATTAATGCAACAATAACGCGTATAATATGTATATATGTATGTGTGTATGTGTATATAATGACGAAAGTGTGGCAACATCAACAAATACGAGCCACGTTTTTTAAAACGATAAACATCATAATAACAGTACAAAAAGAACGTTACAAAAAACGATTGCAACTTATATTCCGATGAATTTGCTTCGAAATTGGCAATGGAATGGTGTACTTTAATCTAAATAGGATAGAGGAGGAGGAGAATGGGTGAATTTCGATTGTCTCGAAGAATTCGGTGCTCTTTGTGTGTCATCGTCGTCGTTCAAGTCGACTATGATCATATATGCGTAAAACTGAACAATTGATTCACAGCAGTTCAGTAGCGTAATCAACTTGATCGATTTATATTTAATTTAACCGAAAAGACAAACAGAGCTCGATAAATATAATACGCGTCGTTTCCCGTTTGTCTTGTTACACGTTCCATGATGTTCATAAACAGCATTGGTAATTATACAGAATAGAGTACAACTCATTAATTTCAATGATCTTGAGATATGTGTATTGTCGAAGACAATATTTTGAATAATATCTCACCACAACATTTGATCGCTCTATATTTAGCGATAAATTGTAATAGTGAAATTATTCAAAATGTTGACCTAACATATTTCAAAATCATTACAGTCCGTGAGATGTAGCATATTCTATATATATATAATTACCACATCATTTCCGACAATGTGAGCACGTACTCGCTTGCTACAGATGTAACGCGTACGCTACTTCACACCCTTGACACGGTGAAGTATCGTTAACCTTGTATCGGTATTCCGCTAATATTCTAAGTTGTTACGATATTAAATGTGATCTAATTAGAGAATTCGAACTATATACAAAAGAACGTAAGTTCTCGTCGATTAATATAATAGCAATTTTATCGATGTTTGGTTTAAGAGTTATTCACTCGAGGTGCGCTCATATGCTAAAAACTTTCTAACTTCGATATATACAATTTTTTATTTGGCATATCCTCGAGGAATAACACGCGTGCGCATCATTTTAAACAGACTTATAACGCACACGTGCAAACATTCGCAGGCACTCTTATTAATATGTATAACGCGAATACATTGTGCAAAAATTACAAGAATATAATCCGAAACTGAACACGAATTAAATCGTGGATGAAGCTGCTTTGTCGAACCTACTTACATATACATGGGTATATTACGTATGCGTAATATGTGTGACCGCAAAAAAAAGATCACGTTTCCGATACTTATTTCCTTCCTTTGGTACTTTATGATGATACTACATGTGGGGAAAAAACGCATTTTGGGATTGAAATTATTTTCTCATTCTCTTCCCTCCCTATCTCGCCTTCTCTCTATACACATGTGGATACGCGCACGCGCTACTAAGCAGGTGCAGAGTAAATCATATACATTATAAGGAACGAATATCTGTTAAAACGATACAACAATAACCATTCAAAATGCTCTTCATTAACTAACAAATTGTTTTCGATTTGAATGATTTAAAAGATATTCGCTTGCAACAATTATGCGTGCACTGTAGATGAATGGAAATGGAACATTAGCAGAAATTTGCTTCATCTACTGAATATTATATACTGTATACATACTGTATTTTATATACAGTATATATACTGTATCTACGAATATACTGTATTTTATATATTTTTGCATTTTATATGAATTCTGCGTACTTTCTACCGTCTAAATTTTGCATAAACCCATAAAAATTTAGAGTCTACCTACAGTCGTATTCAAATTCACTCTGTAGATTTGCAGAAAGAGGCGCGCGCGCGCATACACGCACGTTATACATATAGGTATAGATGTGTGTATACCTAAAATGTTTACCTATCTTATTTACCTATTTAATCAGTCATCCGCCTAATTTGCCATTATTCCTTGCTTCTTGTTCATTGGCATGAATAAAACGAGTGGAGCGATATAATTTCTGTTACAGATTTACGCTCGACGACACGAGTACGAACATTGTCCACTGATAATGTGCTCGCATCGAGATATTGTACAGAAAACAATTAACCCAACATGGAAGAAGAAACGGAAAGAAGAAATTGCGAGTCTGCACTCGTACGTTTACGTTCGCGTTTATAATTACATTTACGTAATTGTTCGTGTTCGTGTCCGTGACGGTGTCAATAAGGTACATGAATGTCCCTAGAAGTAGCTCGTTGCCGACAAATTTTGCAAACAGTGACCAAGCAAATGAGACCGAGAAGAATGGCAAGAGCAGCGCCTAGACCAGCTCCAGCCCATCCAGCAGAGCCAACGACGCTGGCCAAGCCACCGACACCGTTTCCAGATCCGGCCATGCTACCACGTTCCCCGACAACATCGGTGCCGCAAGTTTCGATGGATTCGTCGTTCGGTTCCTCGATTATTCCCAGCAAACCGGTACCGTTGTGCGTTGTTTTGAAGATCGACCGAGGTTCTGGCATAGGGCAATTAACAACACCGTTACAAACAAGTCGCGCGGGGATACAACCAGCGTCGCCCGGACATTGAAATCCACAATACTCCTCGAGCTTCTGCGTATTCAGAGCGCCCGAAGCATCGCGTGGCAAGTGATACAACTCCGTCCAAGCGATTTTAAACGCGGCTCTCGCCGGTGCCATCGAACCAGTGAATTGAACGATCACCGTCGGCCATTCGAATTCTTCTTGCTGTTGATCCGTTGGCAGTGAGGATTGCGACGGCGGCGGCGGCGATACCGGTTGCTGTAAGTGCGTTTGAGTTTGAATAGAATCCATGTTGAAATGTCCAGATTCGTGATCCCCGGACGTACGAATATTTGGGACGATCTGCGCTGCCGATATGATCGGCATTTCTCGTACGTAACTGACATTTTCACCGCATATGCCGAAATGCGGTTCGGCAGATCCGGGCAAGAATATCTCGAGTTTTCCATCCTCGCAGGATCTCGAGGCAAATTTGATCTTGTCGAAATGTAACCAAACGTCTCTGTCTCGATTCACTCGTAGTTCCCAGATACATTTGATCTGTCGAGGTGGCGCAACGTATCCGAGTGCTTCGTAATGAGGGAATTCAATTTCGCCGTCGGTCGTAGCTGGCAAAATCGCTGGGCCACATAATGGACTATGAGCGAACTCGTACCTTGCCTCGAACAACGGTGAGGATTGTTTAAAATAATTCGCTGCAGCGTGTGCACCATCTACTAGAAGCTTTAACTCAAGTTTTTCCCCTCGTGAGATCACGCGAAGCACCGGTTGCCTGTCGCTGTTTGGTCCATTGGTTATCGTCGATCGACAAATACAATGACCCCTACCGATACTGCTATTTTGTAATTGACGCGATGCGTGCTGCTGATGTTGCTGTTGCTGATATTGTTGATGCTGCTGCTGTTGCGAATACTGGTCATTGTTAACATCTGTGATAGACGGTTCTCTAACGATCAATCGATCGACTCGACTATCCCAACAGTTACCGCATTGCGCATACGGATGCACCTTGAAAGAGACCGATTCCACGATAAGAATCACTCGTGCGTATAATCGTTTGTCCGTGACGAAGGTATACGTGCAGGAAAGATCCGCCGGTGGATCACCTGGTCGCTTGTAAACCAGAGTATTTAATGGCGATCGAAATTTGCCAGATCGTTCTTTCCAGGAGGCGAACGTTTCGTCGCATTCGGTTCCAGGTACAGGCACGCCGAATCTTGTCGCATTGAAGAAATCATAATGCGCCCAATAATACAACGAACTGCCGGAGTAGCTTCCCGTTTTGCTCTCGAATTTAACGAACAGAGCGTTCGAGCTCGAAACGAAATCGTGCTTCTCCATTGGTTTGCTAAACGTGTCGCAGAAGGTTTTGATAATTTTCGCATCGTCCGGCCAATCGGCATCGTACAGTGTTAAACTTTCACCGCAGTCACCATCGTACGGTTGTATCGGTGACTCGATCCGGTTAACTCGAAAACTAGGGAAATAGAGTCTCGCGATCTCGCCAGCTCGACCTTTCAAAAGATAGGTACAGCTGGTATACGGTGGATACCAGTGCGCGACGGAGAGAAATATTCCTTCGTTACCGCTATGCAAAGATTCGCTATTTAACAACCAATCGCAGCTACCGTTTCGAACGCCAGCGGTCTCTACGTGACCCGGCCAATTACCAACGTTAAAATGAAAACCGGTATTTAACAGAGGTCCCGCTGGTGACGAGACAAATTCCACATAGAGATCCTCGCTGGTACCGATTATGCTATACGGGAATTTTCCCATACCACAAAACGTACCGATCGCCGGGCTATTTTCATCTTTGCCATCGTAAACTCGTATGTAGTCGTACGGACAATGCTCCGAGCCAGAGCTTATCGGTCTCATAGGGCAAGTCATTATATTCTCGCATCTTTGCCCGTCGATATTGAACTCCTCGTTCTCAATGTAGAGCTTTATAAAAGGCAGCCGTGTATTCAGTCGGTACTTACAATGTAACGCGCGCGGATAAATGCCTGGATAAGCAGGGCTCTGTACGTAACACGTTTGTAGCCTGCAATCCTTGAAAACTCGTTCGCAATAGCTACCGGGCACAATTTCGCCTCTTCGATTTGGGTAGAGTTCAGGATGTTGGCCGTATCTCAAGTATACCTCGAACTGTTG